AAAAAAACATAAAATTTGTTTGCAACGCGACAAGTAACGCTTGATCGGTGTGAGGACTGTCCATGTAAGCTCCTCCTTACGTTGGATTCCCATCTTCCATGTGTAAGCATGGCTTGTCCGCGTTGAGTCGACTGAAGATAATACGGGGACCAGTCGCTGGAATGGCACGATGTTTCCCGACATGTCGGTGTCAGCAATGTAGAAAATGCACTAGCCTTCGACGAACGGATTTATTATCCCATGGTAAATTAAGTCAGATAAGCAACGAAGTGAAGGTTTGAAAAAGAATCTTGATCACAGTTGCTTCAAATGCATTTTTACGCGGCAGTTCATCAGGCGCTGTTACGGTGTCCTAACATAGTAATTGACTTTTTAAACACAATTTTCCACTATATATTCTAAGATTATAAGGCTCCAGGTGAAAATTGGGTATTTGAACGTATCCAAAGCCAAATATGTTATTAAAACATGATAGATAGCGTCTAGTAGCAGCCTACAGAGGGTATGAAATCCACGCACCTCCATGCTTCGAAAGGGCATTTGGAGGTCAACATTATTCTGTGTCTGTCTTTGTAGTTTTGAATACACTATTTTTACTTTCCAGCACACAGAGCACACTATCTGAGTAAATAAACATTGGGTGAGTTGATAAATTAGGGGTAACGTGAGAGCCAACAGCTTTATTGTAAAATTTAGGAAATGTGTGATCGTGCGAGAAATCTTGACAGGCAAAAGGAAATGGGTCTTAATGAGATAATTTAGAGAAAAGCTTTTAAAAACCATGAAAATGCTGCTCAGCAAAAGTGACGAAATTAAAGTTTAATTGAATTAATGTTAAGGGGAGTGTGCAGTCTGCTCTAAAAAACGCGGGATTTATTCGATGACTCAATAGGAATTGAAACACTATTCCAGGGGCACTGAAGAGATAACGTTAAGAAGTGGGAGGAGGTATAATAGGGAAGATGTACACAGGTTGTACGGATGCCGAACAGGGTTTTGATGGACGAAACTTTTTCCAAACTTACTGACGTAGAAAAGACAAAAAACTGTTTCCAGTAAGCCTGTTGTGCGGTCGCTCTTAAATCGATATTTTGGTCCAACGGTTAGTGGTTCTGACCAAGCATTAAATTCTGATGAAAAAAGATTCAACCGCAGCGACAAAACTTGCATATTTAGTTTGGCAGGTACTCCCAACTATTCGGTAGACCATACTCAAAAAACTGCGTCATTTATCCGTTTTCATTGGGCTGCCATTAGCATTGTTCCTAACGGTACATTGTCTTTGAGGTTCCTTTGGAACCTGAGGAACTAGTACGCTACCATTGCCTCGCGTTCAATTTTGTTCATAGCACCTCTAACATGACAAACGAAGTACCCAGGTAAATTTTTTACTAACAGGGATTAATGACAGTCGGCAAGCGACGGAACTTCCGGTGACACTACGGTCTCCATGCCAGTGGTGTGAACATACACGGCTAAACAACCGAGTCGAACGTGGCCCAGTATATCACACTGAAATATGTCAGGAAGCCCTATGACTGGTTGGTTTTACAAAGATATATGCGATCATTAGCAGTGGCACAAGTGTAAGCTGACTAAGCATCAACAGTTAAGACTGCTTGCATATCGTGGACTCGGGAAGCAGTCTTGAAATGTAGGCGAATAAATTGTGGGTACCGCGATCACAAATTTCAATGGTTCGTCAGAAATCACATAAATCACGGCAACTGATGCAAGTGCACAGGGACAAAGTGTACAAAGTGGAACAACTAATGGGTAGAAACGTGTTGCAAATGTAAAAAGGAGTAGTTGTAAGATAAACCTCCCACCGGAACCGCTGCTGATCCTCACTTTGCCAGCTTCGGCATGATTAACTGTCCTTGTAATGACCCAACTCCGTACTCAACCCCTCGCCCCTCGCGAATGGTAGTATGTGCGCACGAGTGTCTATCAAGCATTGGGTTTGCCCGATCATATCCCTGAGGTTGACTGGCGCATGACCCCGCACTCTTACACTTCGGAGGTCACGCTCGCGGTTGTGGACGCGCATATCGCGTGGTGTTACTCATCGACGGGCCACGTCGGTAAGTCACTAGTTATCGAGGGGGTGTGAAGGCTTAAAGGTTAACTCTAACAGCTGTGATCTTCCAGGCCCGGTTCCTTAGGAGAAGAGAGAAGTCTTGGGGAGGTCAGAGTGATAGGAAGAGTTTATTCTGCAGAAGGATTGAAGAATAGCTAGAAGGAGACTTGACTCGCTGACTAGTGCATCCGTTCCCTGGTTGGTTCGGGTCCGGAGTATCTAGCGGCAGTAATTCGGACGGCCACCGCAAGCTGTCTTTGTCCTAGTCAGCCTTGATGGTAATTAGTCAGACCGCGAATTCATGTGTTAGTGAGTCACGCCGTACATTGACCGAGGGGTCGATAGGGCAGTCATCGCGACTGCAGCCTTGGCGTGATGAGTAAGCGATCACGAGTTACCACAGTGGGTGCTCGCGGCCAATATACACACTCATCCAGCCGTCAACTTCCTCCAACCCATTCTCCACTACTCCTGTACAGAATACACTATTCCTTCTACCTGGCGTCCTACTTCCTGTCTTCCCCCACGGAAGCAAGCCTGAAAATTGCAGTGGCTAGAGTCTCCTCTATTAAATTGAGCTACTGCGACATATCACCCACACGATGGTTTTTAGCTTCGGTTAGCGAATAGAAAAGTGTGCCAACATTCCTGATTGAACTAATTCTCGGTCTGTAACGGCGCGGCATGATAGCCAGCGATGCACTGATGAGCTCGAGATTTACACTAGAAATGAATGCTTGGTCTTCTAAGCAAAGTTGCAAATATCAGCACTTGTATCAAGGGGACCGCGGAGCGCGGGGTTATTGAAATCACTAACGATTCGAACTAAGGATGAGCGCGCCAAAAACTATTCGGTAGAGACTTGTACAACAAAGCTAAACAGTTCTGTGCGATTAAGCTGCGTTGACTAAGAAAGATCGAAATTCCCTTCCAATACGTCACCTCCAGTCTAAAGGAACATATTGCGATTAAATTAAGCTCTATATTCTAGTTTTGGCCGAGCCAGAAAGACGGGGTATTTTACAACATTTTTGGGTTCTGTAAGCGGTCATACGCAGCCATTTTTTTCTAAAAAATCCTACGGCAACTCTTTGCTGTCAGCCCAAATTTGAGTGCGAAATATTTGTGCTGCAATGGTGCTCAATACAATTTACTGCTGCTATTACATATGCTTTTACCCATCTCCCAGTCTAAAACAGCCTTTTGCCTTACGACTAAATGCCTTTTAGTTTGGCTAGTCAATATATGTGGTCCTTGTATCAGTAGATATGAAAGACAACAACTTCCAGTCTTGTTCTTTCTCGTGTATTTCTGGGAAGCTAAATCAAACCTTGTGTCAAGAAAACGTCGGAATGAGGGAAGCACGTAGGTATGCTGCTTTTGCTCAGTCGAATGCGTCCTGCCCAAGCTGCATTGGGCAATCATAATACGCAAATAACCCTGTCGTAAATCTCGACAAATGCCGAACGCTGAATAATGACGGTAACCCACTGCTTCTCTGGCCTAATAATGCCAAAATACGAAGGAATGCCAAAGTAGTCTAGCATTGCCCACATTCACACCATCTTACTCTTCCAGTCAGTAGAAGGTATTGACGGTCTTCACTGACGAGGGTGTATTCAG